ACGAAGCTTTCCGCCCGCTCTTAGATAAGTGCGTCATAGTATACCTGGACGACATACTGATTTACAGCCCTGACAGAGCACAGCACTTACAGGACATCGAAGAAAATTGCGACGATTCAAGCATGGCACGCGCCGACCAACTTGACCGAGTTGCAGAGTTTTTTGGGATTCGTCAACTACGTGCGCCGGTTCGTCCCCGACATGGCGAAGCTGACTGCCCCGCTGACAGACCTGCTGAGGAAGGGGGTTGAGTACACGTGGGGGGAGAAAGAGCAAGCTGCCTTCTCGGCCCTCAAAAACATTTTGTGCTCACCGCCCGTGCTCCACATCGCAGATCCACACCGTCCGTTCGAGCTCGTCACTGATGCAAGTGACATCGCTGTGGGAGCAGTACTGTTGCAGGATTTTGGGAACGGCCTCCTGCCAATCGCGTACGAGTCCCGTAAGCTGCACCCGCCCGAACGCAACTACCCGATACACGACCGCGAAATGTTGGCGATCGTGCACGCGTTCAAGGTTTGGCGGTGTTACCTGACTGGCGCCGACGTGACAGTACGGACAGACCACCGATCACTACAGTACCTACGCGCCCAACCAAAACTCAATCCGCGACAGATTCGCTGGTTGGACTACCTCGAGTCCAACTTCCACTACACGGTTACGTACAAGAAAGGGGCCTCCAACATCGCCGACGCACTCACTCGCCCTACCGCCCAACTCCATGTCATCCTACTCGCCCAAACCAACCCGCTTTTAACAGGCCTATTCACCCACGGATACCGCACCGACCCGTTTTTCACGACCGGAAATTCACAGCAACTGGCAGAAGCTAAAGGAGTTTATTACGTAAAAACAGGCACCAACCGCATCTGGGTACCCGCGTACTCACTACTGAGGGAGCTGCTACTGCAGGAGGCACACGACGGAATTACCTCGGGACATTCTGGGGTAGAAAAAACGCGACAGCAACTGCAGCGGTATTACTACTGGCCGGAGCTGTTGACCGACGTGCAGCAGCACGTGGGCTCGTGCCCCACGTGTCAGGTGATGAAGAGCTCGAGGAAGCGGAAGGCGGGTCAATCGCAGCCGATACCACCGCCCGAGCGCGCCTGGCAGCAGGTTACCATGGACTTCGTCACAGGGTTACCTTCGAACCCTGGGGGTAACGACGCGGTGATGGTCGTCGTTGACAGGTTGACGAAGATGGCACACTTCGCTGCGTGCAAAAAGTTGATCTCAGCCGAGGAGACCGCTCGCCTGTTCATCGCAGCCGTTGTTCGCCTGTACGGGATACCAGCAGCGATCATCAGCGACAGGGACACGAAGTTCACCAGCAACTTCTGGAAGAACCTCTGGGAGCAGTTCGGGACCAGGCTACAGTTCAGTTCGTCGTACCACCCCGAGACCGACGGTCAAACGGAGCGGACGAATCAGACGATGGAGCAGTTGATTCGTGCCACGTGCGACGACCCCACGACTTGGGAGCAGCAGCTGCCGCTGATTGAGTTCGCGTACAACAACGCCACGTCAGCGACGACGCAGCAGTCCCCCTTCTACCTGAACTACGGGCAAAATCCTACAGTGCCCATGACGCCGAGTCCGGACAACCCAACACTACGCGCACAGCAATTCGCCGAAATTCTGCAAGCTGCCCGCACCAGAGCCGTAGAAGCAATTAAAAAAGCAAACGTCATCGCTAAGCGCAACGCTGACCGCCACCGCCGCCCAGTCACATACCAGTCAGGGGATTACGTACTGCTCGACACGCAAAATCTGCGACTACCCGACGTACCAAAACTTCGACCGCGCTACTGTGGCCCATTCAAATCAGCCACATGATCACGCCAGTAACCGCGCACCTACTGTTACCGACGGACTGGTACATCAGCCTTTCGTTCCACGTCAGCTTGCTTCGCCCATACATCCCAACCACAAGCCAGCTGCCTCGCCACCGCCCGCCATCCATGACTCGCCCTGCATCAGAGCCGATCATCGAACCCGAAAAAATCCTGAGTCATCGGATTCGCCACCCCACGGGAATCAGGAGGATTGAATTCCTCGTTCGATGGAAGGACCGCACGCCAACTGAAGATAGCTGGGTGCCCCTGGCCAACATTGAAAACCACCCTGCCCTGCAAGTGTACCTGAGGAGCCGGGGATTCCGCGATATACACGCACTCGCGTAGCGGAGGGGGCTTCTTGAGGGGGGGGGGTAGTGTAAGGAATTTTCTCGGCATTCCTTACGGAGCCCGACTACATCTCGTACAGCAACAGCCGTTGTTCGTCCGTTACTGCTAACGGGGCTTCGCCAACTTCGCGTGCACTGTTTTGCCAAACCTCGCACTGCTGGCCCGGCCGTGTCGGCCTACGCTTCGGGACTAGCCCGAGCCTCGCTGCCAGCATAGCACTAGCTAGCTCGCACGCACCGCGTTACCGTTTGCATGTTTCGCGTATAAATGTTCGCTCATGCCTTCGCTCACATCTTTGTACTCGTTTGACACCTTAGTGCAATTCTCGCTACTTCGATTCATTGCACCCGTAACAATGTTGCTTATATGACTCATTTCATTCTAACATGGATGGCAATCATTGCCGTTTCCGTAACTTCGTCAGTGCTGTCATACAATACAAACAAACCTAAACCAGTTGTTGTCTGTCCTTTGGTTTGTTTGTTTGTGGTGCTAAATTCTCCAAAGCTAGGTGTGCACATGGAGGCATGTTGCACAGGATGCTCTTTGTGGGAACATACAGGGTACACGTACTTCATTTATCACTTCACGTACGTACTAGACAGTCAGGAGACAGGGAGAAGTAGCATAATATAGCATACGGTAACAGCAAATGAAGAATGCCAGTGGATGAAAAAACAATCAGGTTCCTAGAAAAGGGCCACCACCGCATCATATGATGATGGGATGTCATGGCGTTGGCCAGGTGGAGCAGGGTAGGTGGGTGATTAATAGTCGGATGCATTTATTACCTTATATCGGAAACTTACCAACGATGTTATGGATTGTTGGAGCCATGGAAGGCAGTTAGATCGCGACAAGGAAACCCGAAGCCAAAATGAGAAGCTAGAATCCATTGAGACAGCCACCTACCATGCTGGAGAAGGCATGCGAATGGTTCACGAACCGTAGAGAGAAATATTTCTAGGAAATGGGTGGCGAGCCATGCAACGTGATCGCGATCACGTGTCCAGGCAGTATATGGTCAACTGTGAGAGAAGTATTTGAAATAATCGCTTATAGAATTATCTTTACAGAGTCAGCATCTCAAAGGCATTTAGATCTTGCCCCTGGGGCCGAGGGCAGCGGGCTTCTGGGGGCCGTTCTGGATGGCAATGATGTCACCGGTGGAGTTGGCAGCGAAGTGACCGATGGCGCCAGCATAGCCGAGGATGAGCACCTTCAGAAGAATTCCCCTCTTGGTGAAGAGGCCGGCGAAGGTCTCGAAGAACTTGGCCTGTAAAAAGGAATAACAATGCGGTCAACCATCTAGCTTTCTGCAAGGCTGGCGAACGATGACGTCCTCAACGTAGAAAAGAAACCTCACTATACCTGCATGCCATTGTAGGGGGAAGCACCATCGTTGCCGTACAGGTCCCAGGAACCAGTGGTGTTGCCGAGGTCCTTCAGGTCAAAGTACACGCTCTCATCGCCGTACTTGGCGCGGGGAGCAGTGAACCTAACGGCCTTGGCGGGGGCAGCCTTCACATTGTTCTTCACAGCAAGCTTCTGGCCGCAGAAGGCGCTGGCGGAGATGGAGGCGGACACAGCGAGGGCGGCCATTGTGCTTGAGTGAAGTGAAGATAGGAATTGGCTTGGGCGTTCAGAAAGCTACCAAGGAATGGAGGTGTGACTGCTGGTCTAAAAGACCCCAAGGGCCAACAGACTGGGTGGCCAGGCGCAGGTCTCTCGCGAACTTTCGCGAGTGGGGAGCTGCTGGTTTGCGATTGGTGTGAGATGGATAGGCCCTAGATTGCTGAAATCGAGCACGGGTAAGGCAGTCCAGCGTGGCAGTGTGTCGAGCATGTCAATGGATACTGAAATCCGCTACAAGGGCACCTGGTGGCAGATGCGTGGCCACTCGAGCACATTACGAGTGGGGTTTTCCAGAATCCTACAGTTCACTTCGCCTCAGGTACAGAACATTCTAATAAATGTAGCAGTGTTTTGGCAAATCTGAAATATGCATCTTATAAATGAAAAATATCAGTCAAGGGGCTTGGTGAAGTGAATGAGAGAGAAAAAAACTATATATGTTTATCATAGGAACAAACATAAGAAAACAGCAAGAATATTGCCTCAATCTATTAATTGAATAAGGTTGACATATTGATGGGCCTAATGTACACATTTTGACAGCAAACAGTGCATCCTACGATTTGAACTGATTTGCTGGCACTTGTTCACAAACTAAGGGCTCGTGTCTTTTGGTGTAGAGTTCGAGAAAAAGTCAACTTTGTTTTGGTAACCTGCTTCGTTAATTTCGTAGATTGCGAAAATCGTGTGTCCCAGTTCATGGTTTGATGAAACCGAAGGAAACGGAACTCTGGTCGAATTTTCACGTGCACGTTTATCCAAACGTGTGTTCTTCTGCTCGCGCACAGTGAATTTGCGAATTGTACGACGCTTACTGTAGCCGGATTCGTCACGAACTTTGTCGTCTAGACCAGGTAACCTACGAAATTCGGGCCGACTCGGAATCTACTGTACATAGTCGAACTTCGTTAGTCGAACTTTGTTGTTCCATCTGTTTGATGTGAAAGGTAACACTGCGACTTGACCACAAATAGTCGAGAAAGTCGACCGCAGGTCAACCGAAGTTCAAATGGATAAAGCTGAACAAAAAACATGAACTACAAAGACACTCCCAAAGACACGCGCCCTAATGCGACTGCTGGATGACAACATTTCAGCAGCCTATCCCGCACAATCCTTCCACTTACCAGGCCTTCATTCATTCTGCAGCAGCCCATCTCCTGGAGTTAGCCCGTCATGCCCAAGATTAAGGTTCTCTTCTTCGCGCGCGCTCGCGAGCTCGTAGGCGCGGCAGAGCAAACCTTAGAGCTGCCCGCGGACGCCGATTCTCGCTTGCTCCTCGAGCGCCTCTACGACGCGCACCCGCCGCTGCGCGACCTCGCGCAAAGCGTGGTGATGGCGGTGAACCGCGAATACGTGTCGCCTAGCGACCCGCCGACGGTTCTTAAAGACGGAGACGAGGTGGCTCTGATCCCGCCCATCAGCGGTGGATAACTGCTCCTCCGCGCCGCGGTTGGAGTGCTGCAGGTTCATTCTTCTCCTCTCGTCACGTCACATCGAATCTCTTCTTGTCGCATTTCTCTTCCCTTCATCTCTCTCACCGTTCCTTCTCACTGCCTTTACCCACCCAATTCCGGCTCGGCCATCTTTCCTCCTCGTTCATCTCCTCTCCTCCCATCATCGTCTCCTTGATTGAGCATCGTCATCGTCATCGTCATCGTCGACATACACCTCAGCATTAGCCTTGATGTCACCATCCACGTCAGCACCTGCGTCATCAGCAGCACCGCCAGCAGCAGAAGCAGAAGCAGAAGCAGAAGCAGAAGCAGGAGCAGGAGCAGGAGCAGGAGCAGGAGCAGGAGCAGGAGCAGGAGCAGGAGCAGGAGCAGAAGCAGAAGCAGAAGCAGATGCAGGAGCAGCAGGAGCAGCAGGGGAAGCAGGGAGGGCATGGGAGAGCGCGGGTGCAGACGTGCTGCTGGCCGTGCTACAGCGGCTGACAGCGCGTGAGTGGGCGGCGTGCTGCTGTGTGTGCTCGCATTGGCGACGCACGGCCATGGACGCCAGTCTGTGGCAGGCAGCATGTCACCGAGAATTCGCCATTCACCATCCGTCGCACTCCCCGCTCGCTCACCTCCTCCTTGACACACTCCCTCCCTCCCACTCTTCCGTGACCGCTTCCTCCTCATCCTGCCCCCCCTCCTCCTGCTCTTGCTCCTCCGCCACGTCCCCCTCAGCTTCATCGCTCCTCCCCTCTCTCCCCTCCCCCTTCCACCGCATCTTCCCACGCGCCTACCTCTCCCCCCACCGCCCCTACCTCTGCCTCGCCGCCCGCCTCGCCCACGTGCTCCGTGGCGTCGCCAGGTGGCGCGCTCTCATTCGCTACCGCCACAGCAGCAGACCCAGAGGAAGCAACCGGGAAGGCCGGAGCACATGGGCATGGAGGGCAGTGCCGGCCCGTGTGGTGATGCAAGGAGGTGTGACTATCTGGGTGGCCTTCGACCTGGTGCGTGCGGGGAGAGGGGCTAGCAGTCCCGGGGGCACCAATGGGAGCAATGGGCGCAGAGAGGCGGCAGAGGGGGGAGTGGAGGACGGGGGTGATGGGCAGGGGAGGGGGGATGTGGAGATGGAAAGGGGGATGGCGGGTGATATGGGGGGGATGCATGAGGAGCAGGCGATGATGGTGGAGGTGCAGGGGTTGTGGCGGGGGGGTGGTGTGGGCACAGGGGCCATGTGGCTCACTCTCTTCCGCACTCACACGGATGCTAGTTGTCACAGTACCCATGGCGCCCATGCGCATGCCACACCTGCTGCTTCTGCTGCTGTTGCTGGTGCTGCTGGTGTTGCTGCTGGCGACGGTGGGCGGGAGTGGGTTGAGGATGAAGCGAGGGATGGGGAGGAGTGGGAGGACGAGGCGGGGGTGGGAGGAGATGGAGGGGCAGGGGCAGAGGGAGGGGCAGCAGGGCAGTGGGAACGAGTGCAGCAGTCGCACATGACTGGCCTGTGCCTGTACTCAGGTAACGTGCTCAGCTGTAATGCGCCATGCTGTGCTGTGCTGCTGTGATGTTCTGTGCGGTGCTGTGTGGTGCGGTGCTGTGGGCCATATGAGCATGAGTACCTTGTCTGAAGGGCTGGGGGTATTCGTGAATGCACTGTGATGCCATATGAGCAAGTATCATATTCGTGCCCTTCGCCCTTTGATGCTCTGATCACTCTTGGCAGGCTCTGAGTGGACCCTCCTCGCCTCTTTCTTCCACCCACCCGCCATGCCCCCCACCACCACCACTGCTGCCGCCTCCTCCCCCTCTGCGGCTTCTCTATGTGCGCGTGAGAGGGCGGAGGGGCAGCAAGGGGGAGGGGAGGGGCCACACGGGGTGGTATTCCTCCACGCCATGCACCTGCTGCACAGCTTCCCTCTCCCGCTCCCACACTCCACTCCCCTCTGCTGCCCCACCCCCACCGACATTTCCTCTGCTCCCTTCCCTGCCTCTGCTGCCTCCTCTTGCGCCTCCTCTCCCCCGGCCACCCCCCCATGCACCTCACTGAGCGTCCTCATTGACTTGTGCCTGCCTCGTGCACTCCACTGCTCGCTCCTGCCCTCTCAAGGTGCTTTCTCGCCTACCCTCGACGCCACTCGCACGTCCTGCACGTCCTTCGTCCCCCTTCCTCTCTCTCTCCTCCCTCTCCTCCCCTCCTACTCCCTCCCTGCTTTCCTCCCACTCAAGCTCTCTCCGTACCAGACTGCTGTAACTTCAGATGCCATCCCTTTCCTTCTAGCCCTGCTATCCTTGCAGCCAGCCCTGCCTTTCCTGCACCCATGCCTCATCCCGCCACCACTCTCTGCTGTTGCCACAACTGTTGCCGTTCAGCATAACATTCTCATCCCCATCCTTTTCCTGCTTTCTGATCCCTCTTCCTCTTCCTCTCCCCCTGCTCCCGGCCCTCTCCCCTCTCCCCACCCTGCAGCCCATGCCATCACGCTCCATGCATACCTCTCCCTCTCCACTGCTCCGCCACACACTCACTCCACATCTATCCCCTCGTCACTGCAGTGGGAGGGGGCGGGCAGGTTTCTGCTGCCAACCCATGCCATGCACACTTGCAGCCACCACACGTCGGGCACTCACACACACACAGGCACAGGCACAAGCACACATGCATGCAGAGGCATTCACACTCATGCATCCACAGGCACAGGCACACGTGCATGCAACGACAGAAGCACCCCTGCTTGCGCATGTGCACGCCACACATGTTCCGCACGCCCCTGTCCACCGCATGTGCTCAGTGACGCCTTGGCAGACATCACCCTCTTCTCAAGGTACCTGCCTGCCTTCATCCAGCCCCTCTCCCTCCCCCAAACCTCTCCCGCCCCTGCCTCTCTCCCTACCCCCTCCTTCCAACCGTGCACATGCACCATCCGTGTATGATACGTGTCAGAAGCTTGTTTCAACGCTTGCTCTCTACCATCATGCGTTACATCGCATGTCCATTCACTCAACTGGCCGTTTCTAATTCCATAGCATTGTTGCACTTTTGCTAAACCCTCTCACCGCTTCGCACCTCTTCCCTGATCTCGCGTTTGCCCCCTCCTCTTGTCCCTGTCTGACGCAGCCGTGGGTGTGTGTTGCTGGGGCGGGCAGCAGTGGAGGTGTGGGAGACAGAGGGGGAACAGGAGGAGGGGGAGGAGGAGGATGCAGAAAGTCACTCACATCTGCCTACACTGCAGGGAGATGGGCGAACGGATGGGAATGGGGTGAGCAGTGGGGCAGAAGGGAACGATGGAGGTGGGGGGAGTGATGGGGAAGAAGGGAGCGAGGGGGGTGGCGCTGGGAGCATGGCATGGCGGCTGCTGTTTGTACCAGATGGTACAGACGAGCCTCTCTCTGCCAATGGAGTCACCATTGAATGGCGGGCGTCAAGGGGGGCGATGGGAGGTGCGGGAGGAGGTGGAGAAACGAAAGGAGGCGTTGAAGCACGAGCAGGGGGGGGAGGAGGAGGAAGAGGGGAGGAAGGATTTAGGATAGGGGGTGGGGAAGGTAGGGGGAGAGATAGTGGGAAGGAGGCAGGTGGTTGGCATGTGTCACTGCATTTGTCTGCAGAGGGTGTGCGTAGTGTGTTTGGCTGCCATGCATGTGACAGTGCGACAGGCTCTTAGTGTGCTCAAGCATCGTAATGCTCGTCCCCTAGTGCAACAAATAAACACTTAGGTATATGGACCATTACTGGTCAGGAGAGACTGAAGTAGGAACCATGTCTATACGTGGCAGCGACTGAATTAAAGTAGTCAATTTTCTGGGTTCCCTTGGGTTGCATTGCGCACCAGGCACATACTGGTACGGTATGGTTTTGATTTGAATAAATAAAAATGACTGGAAGCAAGCATGTTGGCTCTCTCAATGGATGCTTCACCATAAGCAGAAACGCCGAGCATCAAATCTTGGTCTGGGATGGCAAAGCAGACAGGGGTTTTTTTATCAGAGTAAATTACTCTGTTTCTCTGAAAATCAGAGTGGTTTTTAGGGGGTCACTCACTCTGACGTGTCTGGGTAATTTTTTTGGAAGATAAGTTTTCTCTGATTTGTCAGGGTTCTGATTTTAGCTACTCTGAGAGACCAGCGTATATTTGTGGCGAATGTATTTTTCTCTGTACAGGGAATAGGCATTTCGACCGAGCCCCCCCCCCCCAAATTGGTGGAAGATGGTTAGGGCGACAACATATATTTCAAGTCCGTCTGCAAGCGTACCGTATACTCCCGGACAAAACACCCCCCCATAATTGTACACCCCCGGGTAGCTTGTGCGGGGTGGGTGTTATGATAGACCTCGTTTCTACTATACCCCCCTTTTTGGCTGATTTTCTATAACACCCCCCCTTTTCTTACGGATTCATTATTATAGTCGTTAACGAGTAGCTGCAATACGGAAGAATATCGTGTGAATTTCTCCCTCAATGAAATTTCGCGGTACATTCAAAGGCAATCTGCCGAGATTTGCCCCCTCCCACTACAGTATTTCTCTGTCGCCACGTGCAGGTGAATCTTCCGTTGCAAGTGGCAAGAGAGGTGCCACATGCCATTTTCGTGGGGGCGATGAAGTTCAAGGCCGAAACTCACATTCGCGCCTCAGGCAGTGATGGTAAAACGACCAGCAAAACACCCACATTGACTAATTAAAAAAACACTAACACTAAGATATGCCATATGTAAAGACCCGGGTATTATGTATTTTTTTCCTATGAGGAGACCCCCCCCATTTTTTCCCTGTATTTTTAGCTATACCCTAGGGTGTTATGTCCGGGAGAATACGGTATCTGTTAGCGCGTAGCACAACGATTATAATTTTGGTACGAGTGCAGAAGGCCTGGGTTCATGTTACGGGTGCAATGAATCGAAGTAGCGAGAATTGCACTAAGGTGTCAAATGAGTACAAAGATGTGAGCGAAGGCATGAGCGAACATTTATACGCGAAACATGCAAACGGTAACGCGGTGCGTGCGAGCTAGCTAGTGCTATGCTGGCAGCGAGGCTCGGGCTAGTCCCGAAGCGTAGGCCGACACGGCCGGGCCAGCAGTGCGAGGTTTGGCAAAACAGTGCGCGCGAAGTTGGCGAAGTCCCGTTAGTAGTAACGGGCGAACAACGGCTGTTGCTGTACGCGATGTAGTCGGGCTCCGTAAGGAATGCCGAGAAAATTCCTTACACTACCCCCCCCCCTCAAGAAGCCCCCTCCGCTACGCGAGTGCATGTATATCGCGGAATCCCCGGCTTCTCAGGTACACTTGCAGGGCAGGGTGGTTTTCAATGTTGGCCAGGGGCACCCAGCTATCTTCAGTTGGCGTGCGGTCCTTCCAGCGAACAAGGAATTCAATCCTCTTGATTCCCGTGGGGTGTCGAATCCGATGGCTCAGGATTTTTTCGGGCTCGATGATCGGCTCTGATGCAGGGCGAGTCATGGATGGCGGGCGGTGGCGAGGCAGTTGGCTTGTGGTTGGGATGTATGGGCGAAGCAAGCTGACGTGGAACGAAGGGCTGATGTACCAGTCGGTCGGTAACAGTAGGTGCGCGGTTACTGGCGTGATCATGTGGCTGATTTGGAATGGGCCACTGTAGCGCGGTCGAAGTTTTGGTACGTCGGGCAGTCGCAGATTTTGCGTGTCGAGCAGTACGTAATCCCCTGACTGGTATGTGACTGGGCGGCGGTGGCGGTCAGCGTTGCGCTTAGCGATGACGTTTGCTTTTTTAATTGCTTCTGCGGCTCTGGTGCGGGCAGCTTGCAGAATTTCGGCGAATTGCTGTGCACGTGGTGTTGGGTTGTCCGGACTCGGCGTCATGGGCACTGTAGGGTTTTGCTCGTAGTTCAGGTAGAAGGGGGACTGCTGCGTCGTCGCTGACGTGGCATTGTTGTACGCGACCTCGATCAGCGGTAGCTGCTGCTCCCAAGTCGTGGGGTCGTCGCACGTGGCACGAATCAACTGCTCCATCGTCTGATTCGTCCGCTCCGTTTGACCGTCGGTCTCGGGGTGATACGACGAACTGAACTATAGCCTGGTCCCGAACTGCTCCCAGAGGTTCTTCCAGAAGTTGCTGGTGAACTTCGTGTCCCTGTCGCTGATAATCGCTGCTGGTATCCCGTGCAGGCGAACAACGGCTGCGATGAACAGACGAGCGGTCTCCTCGGCTGAGATCGACTTTTTGCACGCAGCGAAGTGTGCCATCTTCATCAACATGTCAACGACGACCATCACCGCGTCGTTACCCCCAGGGTTCGAAGGTAACCCGATGACGAAGTCCATGGTAACCTGCTGCCAGGCGCGCTCGGGCGGTGGTATCGGCTGCAATTGACCCGCCTTCCGCTTCCTCGAGCTTTTCATCACCTGACACGTGGGGCACGAGCCCACGTGCTGCTGTACGTCGGTCAACAGCTCCGGCCAGTAGTAATACCGCTGCAGTTGCTGTCGCGTTTTTTCTACCCCAAAATGTCCCGAGGTAATTCCGTCGTATGCCTCCTGCAGTAGCAGCTCCCTCAGTAGTGAGTACGCGGGTACCCAGATGCGGTTGGTGCCTGTTTTTACGTAATAAACTCCTTTAGCTTCTGCCAGTTGCTGTGAGTTTCCAGTCGTGAAAAATGGGTCGGTGCGGTATCCGTGGGTGAATAGGCCTGTTAAAAGCGGGTTGGTTTGGGCGAGTAGGATGGCGTGGAGTTGGGCGGTAGGGCGGGTGAGTGCGTCGGCGATGTTGGATGCGCCTTTCTTGTACGTAACCGTGTAGTGGAAGTTGGACTCGAGGTAGTCCAACCAGCGAATCTGTCGCGGATTGAGATTTGGTTGGGCGCGTAGGTACTGTAGTGATCGGTGGTCTGTCCGTACTGTCACGTCGGCGCCAGTCAGGTAACACCGCCAAACTTTGAACGCGTGCACGATCGCCAACATTTCGCGGTTGTGTATCGGGTAGTTGCGTTCGGGCGGGTGCAGCTTGCGGGACTCGTACGCGATTGGCTGGAGGCCGTTCCCGAAATCCTGCAACAGTACTGCTCCCACAGCGATGTCACTTGCGTCAGTGACGAGCTCGAACGGACGGTGTGGATCTGCGATGTGAAGCACGGGCGGTGAGCACAAAATGTTTTTGAGGGCCAAGAAGGCAGCTTGCTCTTTCTCCCCCCACGTGTACTCAACCCCCTTCCTCAGCAGGTCTGTCAACGGGGCAGTCAGCTTCGCCATGTCGGGGACGAACCGGCGCACGTAGTTGACGAACCCCAAAAAACTCTGCAACTCGGTCAAGTTGGTCGGCGCGTGCCATGCTTGAATCGTCGCAATTTTCTTCGGGTCTATTTCCACTCCTGCAGCTGAAATAACGTGTCCCAAAAACTCCATGCGGTCCTGTAAAAGTTCACACTTAGACGCTTTTGTCAGTAGGCGGTTCTCACTCAGTATTTTAAAAACTGCTTCGATGTCCTGTAAGTGCTGTGCTCTGTCAGGGCTGTAAATCAGTATGTCGTCCATGTATACTATGACGCACTTATCTAAGAGCGGGCGGAAAGCTTCGTTCATGGTCATTTGAAAAGTGGCGGGGGCGTTGGTCAGTCCGAAAGGCATGACGGTGTATTCGAAGGATCCGTAGCGTGTGCGAAATGCGGTCTTAGGGCAGTCGGGCGGATTGACGCGAATCTGGTGGTAACCCCCTCGGAGGTCGATTTTCGAGAAAACCCGGGCTGTGCGCAGTTGGTCGATCAGTTCGTCGGCTCGCGGGATGGGGTAACGGGATTTGATGGTAACCCTGTTCAGTGCTCGGTAGTCTATGCACATGCGAAATCCCCCGTCTTTGTTCGGTGTGAACAGTATCGGTGCTGCGAAAGGCGACGAACCAGTGCGAATGAACTCCTTCTCGAGCAGGTAATCGAGCTGCTTCCTCAGTTCGTCCAGTTCGGGCTGGGTCAGTCGGAACTGTCGCTGTACTGTTGGTTGTGCCCCTGGTTCTAACTCTATCCTGTGGTCGTGCGGTCGCTGAGGTGGCAGTCCCGTCGGTAAATCATCCGGGAGAATGTCGCTGTACTGCTTCAACAGTGCTGCCAGGTCACCCGGTACGTCGGTCAGCAGTTTCTGTAAATCCCCTCCTTTGTCTGCTGCCTCGGCTTTCCGAATGTCGACCGCGTACACGTCAGCTCCTGCCGCTACGGCGCGTTTCATCGTGATCGCGTTGCCACATACCGACGAAGACTCAGGCGAGCCCCAGTGAGGTAGGGCGATGTTGTTACCGTTCACTCGCACGGTGCAGTCACCCGTCGTCCAGTCGATTCGCGGATTGTGTCGTCGCAGCCAATCACGCCCGAGTAAAATATCGGTTCCGTCGAGGGTCGTTGCAACATTTCCTGGCTAAACGTGAAGTTACCCCCACATCGAATCCGAACCCGGTCTACGCGTTCCCGTATTGCCAGCGGCGTGCCGTCTACCAGTCTTGCGTCGATCTCAGGTAAACATCTGTCCAGTGGCAGTCGCAGTTTTCGTGCTGTAGCACTGTTGATGAGGCTGTGGCTGGATCCCCCGTCTACAAAGATTTTAACCAAGTCCGTCCCGATTTTCCCACTAAGTAGTATGGGGCTGTCTACCGTAGTCCCCTCCTTATTCGGCCGAGTGTGGTCGATTGCGTGAACCGGCACAATCACTCGGTGAGGGTCGGTTGGGTCAGGCGAGCGGCGTGACCTGTCAGTAGAGGGCCCGTCTGCTACTGACTCCCAGCGTTTCCCTGCTGCTTGGTCTGTTTCTGCTGCTCAGCTTCCCCCTTTCCCTTAGCGTTTTCCGGGCATTCGCTCTTGCGATGTCCCGGCCGATTGCACGCAAAGCAGCGCCCTTTGAACGGTGCGGCAGCGGCATTTGCGGCGACGGCACGTATCGTGGCGCCCTCGTTCGTCCCACGAGGCCGATGTCCCCAATGGCTGCTTCCGTAGGACCCCGGTCTCGGTCGGCGGAAGAAATCAAGTTTCTCCGCCATAGCGAGAATTTCTTGAAAATCGGTGACGTCGCGAAGCTGGATTTTCTGAGCGATGTCCTGCTTCAGGCCGCCGATGTAGCGGTCGATGCGCTCGCTCTCGTGCATATATCCCACCTGCTCGCATAGCGCCAGAAATCCGCTCGTGTAATCTTGGACGGAACCGAGTTGGCGCCAAGTGCGGAGCTTCTGTCGCGCCGCGATCGAAGCCGCGATTGGCTCGAAACGAGCGCGCAGACCTGCGCACCACGCGTCCCACGTGCGATACTGGGGCACCTCCACGAAATACGACGGCGCCCAGGGTCCGGTTTGTCCTTCCCGTGTCGGTAGAGTCGCGTAGTCCACCGGCTTCGTGACGATGACGCGCCACCAGTCCATGGCGGGTCATCGCAGCAACGACACGGCGTAGCGAATCTTCGCCGTATCCTCCGAGACGTAGTTCGCGTCGAAGAAGACGTTCAACGTGAAGAGCCACGCCTGAACGGTAGGACCACCCCGCTGTCTTGGGTCAAAGCATGGCGGACGCTGCGATTTTAGCGGCATCGGCGACGGAAGAGTTGATTCGCCGGCCGGCACCGAAATCGTGACTCGAGGCTGAGTCCTGGCCGCATTCGTCGCGTCGGGGTGTGTCGTGCCGTGGTCGTCGTCTCCGTCATGGCGGACGACGCCAGCACTTGCGGCGCTCGCGGGTTGCCCCACACTTCCGTGCTGTGATGTCTGTGGTGCGGGCTGAATCGGAGTGCCAGGTGCTTGGGATTGTGCCCGTGTGAGGTCGTTTTGCAGGGACGAGCGTTCTGCCGTCAGCGTCGCGATTTCCTCGGCGCTCTCGCGGATTTGACGCAGCAGATCGTTCAAGTGCTCCTGCGTGAGAGTCGTGACGTCGATATGTTCAGCCATTTCGAAGGGCGTCGGCTCGTCTTAGTCTAGGCGCAGTCGTGGCTGCACGCGTTTACGAGAGAACGCGATGACAGCGGCTCCTAGGTGCTAAGGTACGTGAGCCCCTTCGAGTGAAAAATCAAAAGTTGATTACCTGGGGTGCGGAGATGCGCGGTCCGAAAAGGAAAGAGGCTCTGAATACCAAGTGTTACGGGTGCAATGAATCGAAGTAGTGAGAATTGCACTAAGGTGTCAAATGAGTACAAAGTTGTGAGCGAAGGCATGAGCGAACATTTATACGCGAAACATGCAAACGGTAACGCGGTGCGTGCGAGCTAGCTAGTGCTATGCTGGCAGCGAGGCTCGGGCTAGTCCCGAAGCGTAGGCCGACACGGCCGGGCCAGCAGTGCGAGGTTTGGCAAAACAGTGCGCGCGAAGTTGGCGAAGTCCCGTTAGTAGTAACGGGCGAACAACGGCTGTTGCTGTACGCGATGTAGTCGGGCTCCGTAAGGAATGCCGAGAAAATTCCTTACAGTTCAATACTTGAGAGGACACTCAGAATTGAAAAAATAGTTACACTGACTGTCCAGAGCATATTTTTCAGTAGTTAAGTTTTCTCTGACAAATCAGAGTAACGCTCATAATTAACCCTGAATTTCAGAGTTCCCTGGAAAACAGCTCTGGAAATCCGAGTAGTGGAAATCCAAAAAAATGCCCTGCAGGCGGTCATCTCGTTACGACACTGAACCAGGCTCCGACTAGCATCAAGCACGGACACATGGGTCCATTCTACGGTATTATTCTAACACATGCACATCATGTCATTCTGTCCGCTCTACAGCAACAGCGCATGTTGCATTGCAAGACACCCTCTCACCAACCTTGAGAGTGCTCCTATATGTACGGAATTCCTACAGTAGGCCACTAGTCAGCAATTTAGCATCAGTCCTCATGTGCTGATACTCGTCTCTGCTGCTGTCTCACACTGCGCTGCCCCTGCCCCTGCCCCTGCCCTTGCTCCTGTGGCTGCAAGTGCCAGGCAGTTGCATGTGCCATGCTGTTCTTAGGCGACGGGGAGTGCTTCGGAGAATGGCTGTTGCGGCGATGAAAGCTTGAACTCGGCACCAACCCCTGCTGCACCTGCAACTGCTGCTGCTGCTGCTGCTGTAGCTGTTGCTGCTGGTGATTGGTGTGTGGGCTGGTGTGTGGGAAGAGCGTGTGGAGGATGCGAGTGCAGGCGGCCATGAGCGCTCGGAGGAGGTTGAGGAGCAGTACGATGAGGGACGTGGGCCAGTAGAGTGGATGCAGTATGCGGAAGGAGAAGGATATCATGTGCCGGAACATGCGCCCCACCTGCTTGTACATGCACATACACATGCACATGCACATGCACATGCACATGCACATGCACATACACATGCACACACACATGCACACACACATGCACACACACATGCACACACACATGCACACACACACGCACACACACATGCACACACACATGCACACACACATGCACACACACATGCACACACACATGCACACACACATGCACACACACATGCACACACGAAAATGCACACAGGCACACAAGCACACATACACACATATCCGCATGCACGCAAACACATAAACAATCCCCATGGCATGCATACAAGGTGAAGAAGGGTTGAAAGTCCTGTGCAGACTGAGAGCGCTGTGCAGGGTTGAGAGAATTGTGCAGGGACGCTTCACAGAGTAGCAAGCGAGGAGCAGAGCAGCAAGGCAGGAAGAGGGGGAACAACGGCGAACAGCGTACAGGGTAGAGCGTATCGAGGGCGGAGCGAGCAGCTTGGCGCACGGGCCGGGTGGGGAAGAGCGGCCCACCCGGCACAGCCATGGAGTGCAGCGCCACCTGCAGGCGAATGGCCGTGGCTGACCGCAGATCCAGACCTGATGGGAGATAGGGGTTGGAAGAAGGGGAAATGAGTCAAAACCCACTGGGCACAGCCGTGAAGAGCCAGTGAGATAGATAGGGAGGGGGTGTTTACGAGGGTGGACGGTGGAACGATGAGGATGTGGGGCATGACGTCAATGGCCCGCTGTGTTGCAGCACAGCGGGCAATGCCGGGATATAATGATAACATGAAAGTGGTGCTGATGGTACAGGTATGGGTAGGGGCAGCGAGGGCTTGCCTTTGAGCGCAGTGCAGCGGTGCAGGAAGAGCAGCAGAACGGGCTCCACCTTGATGCGCTGCAGCTGCAATGGGGTCAATGGGGTCAATGGGGGGGGGGATGAGGCATGGGGGCATTGAGCAACAGCGGCATTGGGGCCAACAGGGCCATGGGGGCAGGGAGGTATGGGGTATGGAGGCATGGGGGCATTGGGCCGATCGGGAAATGGCGGCATCGCAGCATGAGGGGCATAGGGCCATGAGGGACATGGCGGCATGGGAGGCAGGGGGACAGTAACCCACCACCGAGCAGAGAAGAAGGAAGTCATTAACAAAGGGCAGGAAAAACGTCGCAAAGGAGGAGCGAGAAGGATAAAAAAAATGAAGACTGGAAATAGGAATACAATTGAGCAAAGTGCAGACACTGTCGAGATGAAAGCAAGACGAAGCAAGGGCAGGCAAGGGATGGCGAGGAAAGACAAGGGGGAGGGCGAGGAATGGTATGCAGGTGCGTTTTGGAGCAGCGCACCTGGTTGGTGAGCTCCGTGACAAAGATGTCCGCTGTTGCCCCGTGCAGCGCCTCCTGCCGTGATGCTGCTGCCAGCAGTGCGGGCAGACGCGTTCCTGAGGGCAAGAGATAGGGGACGAGGACGAGGAGGAGAGGGGGAAGGAAAAGGAGGAGGGGCAGCAGTAGCGGAGTGAGAGTGGGGAGCGAAGTCAGGAGGTGGGAAGAGGGGTGGTTGGGGCGGTGGGCGGAAATGCTGCCAGAGGGAAGCTAGGCACAGAGCAGTGAGCATGGGATGCATGCGGTGGTGACACACGGTGCAGTGGTTCATGCATGCGGTGGTGACACACGGTGCAGTGGTTCATGCATGCGGTGGTGACACACGGTGCAGTGGTTCATGCATGCGTGCATGCGTGCATGCACCTGACTGGTAGAGGAAGAAGCAGCGAGCCACAGTGCAGAACATGTCCTTCTGAAACTGCGTGATGAGAGAGGGGCAGAGCGCAGAGGGCACGGGGGAGGGAGGGGAGGAGAATGAGACCAGGGGCGAAGTACAGAAAACAGCAGGTATGAGCAAAGGTTGTACAGATGAAATTCCTGACACTGCATGGAATCACTGGTCATTTGTGCACGTGCGTGACTGTCGTGTGTGGAGGGGTGTCTCTGTGCGTGTGTACGTGTGTGTGAGCGCGTGTGGATGTGTGTGTGAATGTGTCCATGTGGGGGGGGAGAAGGAGAGGGAGAGGGGCGCGGGTGTGCATAGTTGCAAGCTCACCAGAGGAGGCACGAGGGCAAAGCGTTGCTCGTCCATGACAATGCGCTCCATCACAAACTGAACCCACGGCATGGCATGGGAGACACACAGCAACGCAGGAGGAGGAGAGTTAAAAACGAGAGGAGGGTGAAGAAGATAGCAGTGGGAGGGACGGCCGGTCTGTGCAAGAGAGGAGCGGGTGGGAGGATAAAGGGATGCGAGATTTGAAACGACATGCTTTGAGATGTGCTGTGCTTCAGGCGACAACAAGACTGGGTTGCAGGCTCGCACTGAGCAGTGGACACAGAGTGAGGAGAGAGTGAGTGCACGTGTGTATGCGGCGGTGTGTGGGTACGGGCATGTGTGTGTTCCGATCAGGACCAACGCGCACATTGAAGAGAGGGCGAAAGCGCTGCTCATTGCTCTGCAGGTCGATCCTGGCATGGCACGCGGCACACAGCACAGGTCAAACAGGAGGAAGAATGGAAGGTCAGAAACACATTTCAGAGTCACCGCAACAGACAACAGCTGGTAGCGGCAAGTCTGAGGAGGTGGCACGAGGTTGTGGGCGCACACTAGTGTAGAGAGTGCCATGGTGGGGGAGAGGCCATGGTTGCAAGAAAAATGGGTGTGCAACAGTGCATGGATGCATGGGTGCAGGGGAACATGCATGGGTGCATGGGTGCATGCATGGGTGGGTGCATGGTTGCATGCGTGGGTGCATGGGTTCGTGGGTGCATGAATGCATGCATGGGTGCAAGGCAGCGTCGCACCAGAAGATGCCTTCGACGCCGGTCATGAAGGCGCGTGTGTAGCGGTGCACCTCCTCTGAATGCGGCTTCGGCGAACTGTACAGCTGCTCACAGCCACGCACGGCAGGCAAGAGACACAGGGAGAAGGGGGGAGAGTGAGAGAGTGTGTGAAAGAGAGGGATAAAGAGGGAGAGGGGGGGGTGGGGAAGTGGGGGGTAAAAAGGGAAAACGCTGAGAGGAGGAGAGACAGAGTGATGGATTTGATACAAAACGGAAAATTGCGGGAAACATGCAGTCGCTGGAGGAGTGGTACAGCGAGGGGTACAGTGCAGAGCAAAGCACAGCGAGGGGTACAGTGCAGAGCAAAGCACAGCGAGGGGTACAGTGCAGAGCAAAGCACAGCGAGGGGTACAGTGCAGAGCAAAGCACAGCGAGGGGTACAGTGCAGAGCAAAGCACGGCGAGGGGTACAGTGCAGAGCAAAGCACAGCGAGGAGTACAGTGCAGAGCAAAGCACAGCGAGGGGTACAGTGCAGAGCAAAGCACAGCGAGGGGTACAGTGCAGAGCAAAGCACAGCGAGGGGTACAGTGCAGAGCAAAGCACAGCGAGGGGTACAGTGCAGAGCAAAGCACAGCGAGGGGTACAGTGCAGAGCAAAGCACAGCGAGGGGTACAGTGCAGAGCAAAGCACAGCGAGGGGTACAGTGCAGAGCAAAGCACAGCGAGGGGTACAGTGCAGAGCAAAGCACAGCGAGGGGTACAGTGCAGAGCAAAGCACAGCGAGGGGTACAGTGCAGAGCAAAGCACGGCGAGGGGTACAGTGCAGAGCAAAGCACAGCGAGGGGTACAGTGCAGAGCAAAGCACAGCGAGGGGTACAGTGCAGAGCAGAGCAAAGCACACATGTGCACGTCCGAGAAAGAAAGGGCGAGAGAGGGCAGTGAGGCTTACCCATCTGTGGAGCAGCAGGGCGAAGATCTGCGAGGAGAAGACGCAGCTCCAGAGGGGCGCGAAGAGAGGAAGCAGCGCCGCCACTGACGCCTCGCTCTCCGCGTAGTGCTGCGCCAACACCTCGTAGAAACACACCCGCTCGCACTCCCCCCCTGCCGCCACACCCCGCAACCCCTCCTGCTGCTGCTGCTGGTGGTGCCAGGGCTTGTTCCCCTGGTCCTCTCCCTGCGCTGCCCCGTGCTGCTGCTTCTCCTGCGGCAGCAGCAGCAGGCGGGAGTCCGGCGCAGTGGCGGCCCCTGGGAACGGCGCGAGCACGGCCGTGGCGGAAAAGGCGGGCGCGAGGGCGGGGTGCGCGGCGGCGCAGAGGGAGGAGAGGGAGGCGGAGGGGTCGCGGAGCAGCACGTCGTGCGCGTGGCCGTCGAGCTCAAACGCGATGTCCGTGAACAGCTGCCGCAGCACGCCTGCTCGCTGCGACGGCGACTCCACCGCCTGGTGGGGGGGGGGGGGGAGGCGGTTTGGCAGCAGGCGTGGGGAGAGAAGCGGGCGGGAGAGAGGGGGCGGGTGGGGAGGGGGGGTGTGCGGGGCGCGGAAGAGGTGGTTTACGAGGCAGCGTTGAGAGGGAGGGAAGGGATTCGAGGAGGCATGGAACGGCAGATGTGGGCGCGTGTGAGCGGAATGGGTAGGTCCGAGAGGTAAGCGATGCGCGGTGCGTTAGGCATACGAGGCTGGTAGCCAATTGAAAGCCAACGACCGACTAGGGAAGAATCCCGCCGAGCGCAGTGCGGCAAGAATTTTCCTGGGAAGCGCGGATCAGAGAAGGGAAGTTCTCAGATAAGCAGCCCCAAAGCCAGGACCAGTACGGGTAGACCGTAGAGCAGAGCGTGTTGTGAGCGTGTTTCTGGACGCCAGCACTTCAAACACACCTTTCTGAGCTTGCGCTGCACTTGCTCCACGAGGCCTCGCCTCACCGCCACCTCCAGCACCTCGCCTCGCCACACCCCCGCTTTGCGCGCGCTCCTCTGCTCCTCCGCATCCGCCTCCATGACTCCTTCGCCCTCCTCCCCCACCACACACAACGGCCTCTGCTGCTGCTCCTCCCACTCTTCTTCCTCCTCATCCTCATCCTCCCCGGTTTCACCGTCTCGTACCCTCTCGTCGCCTTGCGCCAATCGTGCGTCCGCTTGTGCGCCCATACCCACACCCGCAAACGCCCCCTGTTCGGTATGACTAACTGCGGATTCTGTATTCGCCTTGTCGCTACCCGTCCTTGCGCGTTCGCCTGTCCCTCCCGTTGCGGTTTCCGCTGCTGCTGCTGCGGCCTCTACTGGCGTTTCTGCGATCTCAACGCTCTCTACCGCGCTCGGCGCACCCGCGAGCTTGCCGCCTTCCGCCTTGTCGCGCGCGCACTGCTGCGCGCTAGCTTCGGTGCTGCTGCTGCGGGGAGCCGCATCCGCGCGTGCTGCCGCGGTCAGCGCAGCCGCAAACCCCGGGTAAGGGCCCATGTCATCGCGACACGCGCTCTTCACAGGAGGAGGACCCGACGCGGCCCCGCACAGGTGGCCTGGAGACGTCTGCGGAGCCAGCGGTGTGGGTGACGCTAACGCTAACGTTGAGGCCGACGGCGCGGAGAGAGGTACGAAGCCTAAGCGCGCGAATGCACCGCGGGATTTGCGCGAAATGGATAGGCAGGAAGAAAGATGGCAGGAAGATTTGCAGGAAAGACACGCGATGCTGATAGATCGAGGAAGTGTATCGTAAACGAGGAAAGTTCTGAGTTCTGACACGCGTAATAATTGCAGCCGCAACGACCTACGCGGCAGACGGATAGAGCGTCGAAGTCAGACTGGCGGGCGTCACAGCAGGTGGAAGATCACGCGTGCTGAGGGATGGAGAGTGGGTGACTCGACATAAAGGCTAGGTGCTTGCTGCTGACATAACGTCGAGGCACTCGGTAGAAGAGAAGGAAAACGAGAAAAAGAATTGGCGGAACCAGGGTGAAGCGGAGCAACAAAAGCTATGGAGCTTGGCGGGCTGAGGCTCGTGGCCGAGGTATGACTAGCGGCCTAGGGGGAAGTGATGGGTTAGACAGGTGTTGCGTTGGTCTGGCGTGTAATATTGGAGCGGAAGGAAGGAGAGGCGGGAGAGAGGGATGGATGGATGAGGGCTGACCTGGTAATGGCCTGTGATGACCGAGCAGGGTGTGTGCAAGCCATGTTGCTTGTTCTGTGCACTCGCTCCTGACGCCATTCGACAAGGCACGTTGTACTCTTGTGGCTAGGAAGACGTGGTTAGCGATGAAATGCGTTAGGGTGCTTTGTGAAGCATTGCAGTGTGGTTGGGTGGCTATGACCTGATTCGGGTTCGGCGGGAAAGGTACGGGAGTCAGGTTGGTCAGGAGGGAGGCGGATTTTGATGGTTGACAGTAGTGGCTGGGGTGCACTGGCGGCCAGCGAATCAGCGAACCACATTGATTTCGTCGATAGGCACGGACGGACGGATGTAATGTCACACGACCAGATCACATCATCCCGCCCAGGACGCCCTGCCACAAAAGCCCGTCATCTGATGTACTCGCTTCTGTCAAACCTTTTAATAGAAGTAGATATGGGCGTCTCATTATGTCAAGTTCAAAGGTGAAAGTATCTTTGTAACAATGTGCGACTCCTGGTCGTGATCTGAAGTGCCCACTGCAGTGAACGACCCACAGATTCTGACACTACAATCCTTCTATGTAGCGTTCTCACGCATCCTCTGAGATTCACGAGTTCCAGCGTAAGGCTAGATCCGAGTTAGCAGCTAGCCCGCGTCCGGCGGTCTGACATTCCGCAATCATGATGAATATATTCCGGCTTGCGGGTGATATGACCCACCTGATGAGTATAGTGGTGCTGCTTCTGAAAATAATGACAATGAAATCTTGTGCTGGTGAGCCACGGGCCGTGTTTGGGAGGATCTGGGGTTCCAGGGTTCTCCGTCTCACTCCCTTTCATCTACTCCCATTGCCGCAGGAATTTCGCTGAAGACTCAGGAGCTGTACGTCATCATTTTTGTGACTAGATACCTGGATCTTCTATACTCCTTCATCTCCGTTTATAACACAATGATGAAGCTCATATTTCTTTCGAGCACGGTCGCAATCGTCTACTACATGCGCTACGACAAAGTGGTGCGGCAGAAATATGACAAGGATCATGATACCTTCCGTCACATCTTCCTTGTCGTCCCGTGTTTCGTGCTCGCATTGCTCGTGAACAAGAAATTCACCTTCACGGAGGTATGGATTGGCGGGAAGGCTGGTTTTATAGGTAGCATTTGCTTTTTTACTAAATTTAATGTCCTCCTTCGGTATTCCAGGTTCTTTGGGCGTTTTCGATATATCTGGAAGCAGTCGCCATTCTCCCGCAGCTTGTGCTTCTTCAAAGGACAAAGAATATTGACAATCTTACAGGAAATTACGTCTTTTTCCTCGGGTGAGGCACCAGAACTATTGTACGCTCGCTGTTTTGGTGTTGATCCCCTGGTGCTGACTTTTGATGGCTGTTGTATTTGCAGTGCTTACCGTTCCCTTTACATCCTGAACTGGATATACCGCTATATGACTGAGAAGCACTACCGCCAATGGATTGGTAAGCATTGGGAGTACCTTGTGTCTGCCCGATTTCTATGCGTGTCTTCTCACCACCATCCCTTCTGTTTGCAGTCTGGATTTCGGGACTTGTTCAGACAGCCCTCTATGCCGACTTCTTCTATTACTACATCATCAGGTACGCCGGTCTTGTTGTGTTTTGTTGCGGTTTAGGGTGGAATCTTGTTATGGACGTCTGTGGTGTGTTTCTTGCAGCTGGAAGAACAACCAACGTCTGAGTCTTCCTGCCTAAACGACCTAGCTACATCAGAATACGCCTTGCAGGTCCGATAATGTGAACTTGTCTTATAATATACTAGGCATGTGACCTGATAAAAAATCTACTGATTTTTATTTCAGGTCCTCATATTTTAGCCGTTCTACGTTAATTCAGCTCATTATAGGTCTTTTTTATCCAAATTTTACTGATAATCTGTTGTGTTACATATGACAGCAGGAAATTAATGTTTTGATACTATTAACTGAGAACATGCAATACAATAATTGCGCCTACAGCCTCTCACTTACACTAATGAGTGATGCATGGATGGAACAAAGCTGCTGGATGTAAGCTGGAAACGTGCCAATGCTCCCTTTTCCCGGCACGACGAAGTTCTGAACCCTGACAAAGTTCTGATTACTTGGCATGAACAGCATACCTACACTACACTCCTCTCAACTCGATCAACTGCTGCACAACTGAAGGATCAGCAAGGGTGCTTATATCGCCTGAAAAGAGATTGAAGAGAAAGGTTATCAGTACATGAAGCAGAGCGATGCCACAAGGAACAAGCAAATCCATAGGTATGAAGACCGAAAACTCACCAAGGGTCTCCAGGTCATTGGCAGCAATTTTGCGAAGCACCCGGCGCATGATCTTGCCAGAGCGCTGAAACACATTCAGAGGAAACACACAAGGGTAGGGGACAGGAGATGTGGGAAGAGGATGGTGGCAAGAGGATGGTGGCAAGAGGATGTATACGCAAGGATGTGGAGCTTAGGCATAGACACCAACATCAAATGCAGTGCACACAACACCCAGTGCCTCAGCAAGGTGCAAGAACTTCACGTACCGTTTTTGGCAGCCCAGGAGCCCAATGGATGACGTCAGGAGTGGCAAAGGCTCCAATGGCCTGGCGAACAGCGGACTTGAGGGCCGTTCGCACCTCCTCCGTTTGCTCCACCCTGTGACACATGGCACAGGCACACACAAGCACGAGTGAGTCAGCAGCTGCTGTGTCGTAGTCGCAAGCACTACATGGGAACAGAAGAAAAATGGAGGTGGTAGTCGTAACTCACCCTTCCATGAGTGTGACGAAGGCATAAATACCCTGACCCTTGATAGGGTGCTCATACCCCACCACTGCCGCCTGCATGCCAGCTCAAAACAAAGAGAATTAGCGCTGGTGACAGGCAGCAGAACCCGCACGTTCACAGGCATCCGGGCGTTGGCAGTCCAATCAGACTGCTGCAAGCAAGTACAAAGCGAGCCGCTTACCTCAGCACAGCTTTCGTGCGCCACAAGTGCACTCTCCACCTCAGCCGTTCCAATGCGGTGACCACTGGTGGAGGGAGACAAGGGAGTGGCAGGGAGCACCAGACGACATCAGAAAGAGGCCATGTGGATGAGATCATCGGCTGTATGGATATGATTCTCGGGGTGGAGATGTCAAGCAGTCAAAGGGTGCGTGCTATTGACCGACTTTCATACGGTACCTGACGTTGATGACATCGTCCACTCGCCCTGTCACCCAGTAGAAACCGTCCTCATCCCTGCGGCACCCGTCACCCGTGAAGTAGTAGCCCTGGGGGAGGCGTCACACAGTGGAAGGGAGAGGGGTAGTGCCGGGTAAGGAGAAGCGGTAGGTAGGAAGGGGATAGATTGTGGTGTAGGGAGGGTGGGAGGTTGAGCAAGACAGGTGGGCGTGACAGGAAACACTTATTGGTCATCACAGCACCGAAACACCGCCGTATGCAAGAGCAGCACAGGATAAGCACCGCAGTCCACACCACACATGCAGCAGGCAGCACGCACACGCATGCATGCATGCATGCATGCAAGGCATGGCATGTGTGGGGCCTGACCTTGAACATGGAGAAGTAGACCTCCTCAAAGCGTGCATGGTCGCCCTTGACCGTGCGCATGATGCTAGGCCATGCGCGCTTGATGCACAGGAACCCACTGCACGCGCCCTGGAGAGAGGGAGAGGAAAGGATGTGCGCAGGGAGCAGACAAGAGGGAGGTACGGGGAATGGACGAGGTAGGGTTGCAATCCGAGAGACTTGGAAATTGGACAGAGAAACGCGGGCAGCGAATCAATGGAAAGAAACGCAAACGCAGGGTCACTTGCGAAAACTCGTGGAAACGCCTTGTCGATTTTTGTCAGGAGAGACAACAGAGGCGTTGAGCGGCCGGCAGAGCACTGACCTGGAGCTCGTTGCCGTTCTCGTCCAGCACTGCGGGCTCCACTCCAAAGAAGGGCAGCGTCGCACTGCCTGGCTTGAGCGCCCACGCACCCGCCAGAGGAGTGATCTGCACAGAGAGGAGGCATACGAATGCATTAGTGTGACTGTGTGCCATAGACAGAGAGACCGGGTAAGTAAGAAAAAAACCAGGAGAAACGAGTGGCATCTTGTGTTGAGGGCTGCGTGTCCACTGGCGCTATCCCATGGCGCACTGCCACTGACCATGATGGAGCCGGTCTCTGTCTGCCACCACGTGTCGGCAATGGGGCAGCGCCCGCGGCCAATAGCCGAGTGGTACCAGCTGCAGGGATTGGGCAGGATAGAGAGAGAGAGGGAGTGGATGAATGGGAGGGTCAGACTGAATGAAGTGTCTCCTTGTCAGAGAGTCGAATGACATGGCCCACACACCGGTGCAACAGCTGCCTTCAATTGCAATGCAGTCAATTCTTGAACAGTGGGCCAGTGGCCGTGCGCTGTGTGCAGGGTTACTAGTCACGGTGTGTGCAGTCGTGTGTAATGTGCGCGCCTCTTACCGCCAGGCTTCAGGGTTGATGGGCTCGCCCACACTCCCCAGCAGACGCAGCGATGTGAGACTGTACTTGCCCGGCCACTGCACCATGGCAGGGCGAGAGAGGAGGCACGGGAGGAGCAAGGGGGGGAGGGGGAATGGGGAGGGGTAGAGAAGGTAGAAGATTGCGATCGGAGTGGGAAGAGTTCCGTAAAAGGGGGTGGAGGAAAGGAATGCGCGGAGAAGAGTGAGTGGTAGATGAGTGACGCACGCATGCAAGTGCATGCACGGACTGGACACACAGAAGCATGCATGAATGCATGGATGTGCGAAGGCTTGCATGCGTGCATGGCATGACATGGCATGGCATGGCATGGCAGGTTGTCTCACATGGTCGCCGCATCGCATGAGAGCGCGGATGGCAGTGGGAGCCGTGTAGAACACCGTGACCTTGTACCTGGTGCATGGGGGTTGGGGAAGGGACGAGGACGAGCGGAGAGAGGGAGGGGATCAGGAGGAGGAGACAGGAGAGTGAGGACGACACCAAGACAGGAAAGGGTAGCCAGACCCGAGCCAGCCCTCCCAAAAGCAGATTTATCTCCCTTCCCCACCCTCCTCCCAACCCCCTCCCTCCCCCCCCATTCTCTACCCTCCCCCCCCCCCCCCCTTCCTCTCTTCCCCACCCTCCCCTTCCCTTCCCCTCCCCCTCTCCCCCCCACCCTGCCCCCTCCCTCGCAGCCATACTTGTCAACAACGTCCCAGCAGCGTCCGGGGTCGGGGTGCGTGGGCACGCCCTCGAACACGAGCACGGTGGCGCCGTTCAGCAGCGGGCCGTACGTCAGGTACGTGTGCCCCGTGATCCACCCGCAGTCCGCCGTGCACCTGCTCCCGCGCCATTCCACCCGCCCATGACGCACGCCAACACACAAGCACACAGGAGCAAGTAGGCGGGAAACCAGGGTTGGTGCACGCGCGCGTCGGAGGCAGGCGGGAGAGCAGTGCGGCGAAGGGGAAGGGGGGGGGGGGGGGGCACTGAGGGTGGCACGAGAGAATCCACAAGTATTGATGAGCGCACTAGAGAGTGAGCGATGGAATGAGGAGAACTGCGCTGGGACAGCGGATGCGCGAGACAGCAAGACGAACGAGGTCAAGTGAGCGCAACAGAGCGTCAGAAGGAGAGGCGGGGGGGCGGAGGGGCGGAGAGGGGGAGGGGCGGAAGGGCGGAGGGGCGGAGGGGCACACCAGAAGACGTCGTCGTCATGGTGGTCGAAGATGTACTTGAAGGACGTGGCGGCGCCCAGCATGTAGCCCGCCGTGGTGTGCAGCACGCCCTTGGGCTTGCCCGTGCTGCCCGATGTGTACAGCATGAACAGCGGCTCCTCCGCCTCCATCCACTCCACCTGCCGCGCGCGCACATGCGCGAATTGGAGATTAAGTAGTTGCCGATTAGTGCACGCCATGCTTGAACCAATTTTCGGGATTCTCTGGTCTAGTGATGTATTTATTCATTTATTTATTTTTGTTTGTTCAAAAGCGTGTACGCACGCAGTGAATGGAGTGGTCGGATGGACTGGTTCCACCTAAAAAAAAAAAACTGTGGTAGATGTAAGTGCATTGAGGCACGGCATGGCAGTGCATGGCATAGCAGGGCAGGGCATGGCTTGGCTTGGCATGGCATGGCAGGGCACGGCATGGCATGGCATGGCATGGCATAGCATGGCATGGCATGGCATAGCATGGCATAGCATGGCATGGCATGGCAGGGCATCTCACCGGGCACACTTCGCTCTGCTTCTCCACCTCGTCCTGCCACCAGTGGTCCCGCCCCTCCACGAACGACGCCTTCTCCCGCTGCACACGCGCGCACAGAGCAGAGCGGACGATGGGCGGGAGCGGGGGCGGAAGGACAGTTAGACCACCCGCATTGACCGTCCCCCGACAGTAACGAGCAACAAGGCAGAACGAGAAGCGGCAGGGGACGAGAGGGAGCGCGAGGCGGCGGGAATGAACGGGTGACGGGAAAGGGATGGCGTGGCGGGAAAAAAAGCGGGTGTGTGTGTTTGTGTGTGTGCGCGCGCGTGTGTGCGACGTACGGAGATGGCGAGCTTGTTGTCGTACACGAGCACCGTCGTCGGACGGTTGTCGTCGGGGCACTGCGCGATCGCGTCATCCACCTGCGACGCGCGGCGAAGAAATCGAGGGAAGAGGACGTGAGCGGACCAGGAGGGACCGGGGAACGAGGGGTCTCCGTGTGTGAGGGGTTGTGTGTGGAAGCTACGCGCAAGACTGAGGGGTAGGTCGCGGGTACTAGTGGACGCGAGGAGGGACGGCGATGGAGGCAAGGACAGGCAACGCGAGGTTAGAGTGGGCCGCCGTGCGCATGCGAGCTCGGCACTAGCGACGGGGAGCGACAGACGGAAGAGAAACGCATTTGCCTCACCACGCGGTGTGTGTGGGTGTGTGCGAGCACATATGCTACGCAGATTGACTGCACATTGTGGCTAGTTCAGACTAAAGGCTGACGGAAAAGGGTCCCAGCTTACAATGGACTTGAGCGCGATGAGCTTGGTGCCGCGCAGCACGGCCGTGGCGGTGAGAACCACCTTGCTGCGCGAGTCCACGAGGCGCCCCGCCAGCGACTCCGCGCTGAACCCCGCGAACACCACGGAGTGCACCGCGCCTATGCGCGCGCACGCCAGCATCGCTGCGCAGGCGCACGGGGGAACGCACGCGGAACGGAGAGAGGCGGAAGAGAAAGAGGGAGTGGGAGTGTGAGACTGCTCAGGAGGGAAATGCCTGCTGTCGTTGACCGGATATGGCACAGATATTGTATATGGTATGGAAATTGTACACGTATAATACGGGATGCTGAATCCAGAAAAAGTGATGACGGGAGGCGGTCATACTAAACTACAAATTCATCGACGAATTCAATGTGCGCCCAGAAATACCTCTCAGCCGCTGCGGTGGCCAGGCGAAGCTAGGGGTTTACAAGGTGGCGAGGAATGTGAAGGCGAGAGTACCTGCTGGCAGTTCTGGCACCATAGGGAGGTAGATGCTGACCGTGTCGCCTCGCTTTACACCCACGCTCTTCAGGTAATTAGCGATCTTGCACACCTGATGCCATGGCAACATGCATGTCGCGCGAACGGCGCGAGACAATTGAGTCATTTTGTTTAGAATCGAAGTATAGTCTGATAGCACAAGTGTCAGTAATCCTGTAGACTAACAACAAATCCAATATTCACTTATCCTCCCACGAACACATTTGCTCCTCACGGCGGCTACATGAGAAATCGGAAATAGGAATGCATACCTCAAATTTCTTTCTTCTCCACTCACTCACGTCCTCCATTGCATTGCTTTTCTTTCTTTCATTCATTAATTCGTACATCGTCACCTTTCGGTGTCGTCTCTGACTCACCTGCGACAGCAGCTGAGAGTACGTCCACTGGCCCTGCACGCCAAGGTCGTTGCCCTCCCAGATCAGCGCCACCTTGTTGCCCTTGCCGGCCGACACGTGGCGGTCCACGGCGTTGTAGCACAGGTTCGTCTCGCCGCCGACGAACCACTTGATGTCGACTGGGCCCTTGCGCGTGTCGAAATTGTACGAGTGGAATGTCTGATAGCGGACAGGCAGCAGCGATAGATATGATGTAAGAAGAAAGGAATGAATTAAAGGAGAAGGCTGACACTAAGAAACGGCGAAGGTAGTAACGAATACCAGTAGCTGCACGCACGGCATGGATGGTCATGCAATTGACACATTTCGAGCCCATCAGAGAAAGGCATGCATACTTGCGAACAAAAAAGATACGGTGAATCCAGGGTCTCACCTCCCATTTCTTGTTCCAGTGGAAGTGACTCGCGACTTCGGACCAGAAGGCCTCGGGCTCTTCGAGCGACCGCTTGTACATGGCATCGTACACGGCTCGCGAGTTCACCAGTGCCTTCTCCACAAAATCTGGAAGTGGCTCAATAACCCCCTCCTCCGTCGTAACGGCGGCGACTGCTGCCGTGTCGAAATCAAGCAAGTTACTTTCCTCCTCAGACCGCTTCACTGCGGCGTCCGCCATGGCTGACTACCTCACTGACACGTCCAGGAGGAGAAAATGGTAAATGTGATGCCTCAAAGGGACGGATGGTATCACAGAGTGGGAAAAAGAAATGGAGTCAACACACTTAGGAAGCAGCTTATCAAAGTTCAGAGACGCAGTCCGTGACCTACAGGCCCGGGCAAGTGTGTTGATGAGCTCATCGCCGCGTGTCCTAGGAACTGCCTCCGACCGTTCCCCTCACAACAACCACCCATCACCACCGACCGACTCTCCACCTCAATTCTTGGGGCAAAACGGCCCATCCGCCGTCCTTCGGGACTTGCTGCCCGCATAAGCAGGGGTTGTTGGGGGGATGCGAAGATCAGGGAAGTCTCCAAACCAATGGCGAGGCTCGCCTTGAGCTTGCTTCCCTTTCACACGCAAATCTCAATGCTCGGCCTATTGGCCTGGGGGAACACCCGGCTGCTGGCTCTCTCCCACCCAACGCCCAAGCCGCGAACGAAAATTTGAGCAGTTGACCTCTGGGTTCAAGTGGGGGCAGGTTGGCGGATAAATACTACACGTGCAAAAATATCATCACCCGAGGTTCAGGAAGGCCGACCAACCAGCAACTGGTTGAGTCGGATAATGTTCCAACGCTGCTCATTGCTGCCGTGGCGAGCATAATTTCTGCCGTAGCTCCCTGAAATGACACAGCACGCTTCCCCGATCTGGTTGGGGAGCAGGATTGATATTATCAATCAATACCGTAGTACACGGATATGATTGATGTTTTCACTCAAATATCGTTGTCCCCTTCAGTTCCATACCAAAAACCACCATGGCAGAATGGTTATGGCAGTTTCGATTACCTTTTATCATATACACTTCACTAGAAATGCATGAACACATGTATATCGGAGATTCAGATGATCATATACACTTCACTAGAAATGCATGAACACATGTATATCGGAGATTCAGATGATGTTTTCACATATAGAACTTCTCACCAGGAAACATCCTATGTACATGCGAAACCGACTACATTCATGGAAACCGTGCTGCAGTCACAGCTCCTTGCCCCTGACAGTGGGGACATCAGTGGTGACATCAGTTGCAGCTGGTGGTGCCTGCTCACCCTGCAGGCCCAGGGCCTCCTTAGCAGACTGAGCCATTTCAGACAGGCGTTCTCCCATGCCCTGCAACACAACAGAAACACGGGAAGTTGGTCAATGCATCACCAACATCAGCCAAAAAGCTTCTAGATGGCTTCACATGCCAACACTAACCTTCACAGTATCTGTGACGGACTGCTGAGCGGCCTGAGCAGTCTCCCTGGTCTTTGCAGCTGCCTCTTCAGCCGCAATCCTTGCCTGCTCAGCTGCACCCTTTCCCGTCTCTTGGGTAGACTCAGCGGCGCGGCTAGCCATTTCCTTGGTCTTATCTACAGTGCCCTGAGCTGCCTCCTGCGTCCTCTGGGCGGTTTCTCCTGCCGTCGTCTGCTTCGCCTGCTCAGTGGCCTGAGCAGTGCTCTCTTTGGTCTGCTCCCACGTTTTCTGAGCACTTTCCTGGGCACGACCAAGCCCTTCAGAGGCACCCTGCTTCGTCTCCTCCATCTTCCTCCCCGCAACATCACCAGCTTGCGCGGACTTCTCGCGAGCAGTCTCGGCAGCGCGTCCCGAGGTGTCCTTCATCTGCTGCCCGGTCTCCGAAAGACCCTGCCTGCCCTGCTCCATCTTCGCCTGAGTGGCCTTGCGAGCTTCCTCAGCGCCCGCTCCAAGCTGCCCACGGGCCTCCTCAGCGTGACCGGTAGCTTTCTGTAAACTCACACAAAAAACACGTTCAAAGACACTTAACAAGAGAGGGAGGAAGCGAGGCTGGATATCGAATCTCGGTAAGGCGGCCGTTACCTGCTGGTGGCTGGCCATGATGTTCACGAAATTCGACTGAAGGTATGGTCAGAAAGAGGAAGGCGATATAGCTGGAGGGTGCAAAACAACTGCGTCGTAAGAATAGACCACGCAATTTCCTTTTAAACCATGGTGACTGAAGGCTACTACTTGCACTGGTGGCGCGCTCCACTTCGGTCTCAAGAGAAATCCGCATGCCTCGAGCAAATCGCACCGCCTCGATACTAACTATCGAGGTCGAAAGGAACTCAATGCACAACTAGTTCTCTTGTTGGCTCTCCTAATCGTGGCACGTGTCCATTGTTGACGTAGATTTATATACGCCATACGACGAGGCTTCGGTTTACAAAACGCTAGACACTCTCCGTGCTACATATATTGTGCCTTCCAAACTAATTTCGATTCAGTTTTTTACGTTGTAAGGAGAAGTGCTCCAAAAGGGGTGTTCCGAGAGGGTAACCACGGTTGCGGTCGTGTGAGCTGAGCTTAATAAAACCTCTTTCCACCTTGTGCAACCTACTGAAACAGCTTGAGCGACCAGCGGATGAACGCGCGAGAGCCTCCCTGAACTGCATTGGGATTGCACATCAAAAAATTCAGAGCAGTGGCTTCCATTTACAGTTTCGTGACTGTCGCCGACAGTAACCGACCATTCCAATACGACGCTGTGCTTACGTCACAGCTAGCAGAGAGCGGCTGTCGCACGTCCCACCAGACATGCGCATGTCGTGTACAGTTCGTCCGCTTGCAGCCGTGGCACCCAACGATGCCCTTCATTTTTCTGAACCAATTATCTGCGTCGTGTGAAGTCGTATCGATCATCGCACATGTTCTTGACTAACATCCGGGTCGCCTTTCATGCGCTGCCGCCGTTACGAGTCGCAGTTGGCGATCTGAAGAATCGACGGCGCGGAAAGGGGCTTGGTCGCGGTTTGGCTCCCTCGCTAACCTCACACCGCGGTCTGGGTTTGGAACATCGGGGCGATTTCAGAAAAACCAATTGGTGTCGCTTTGGTGACGCACTGAACCTGTGCTGTGCTGGCTGTATGGTACTGTACTTGGCTACAAAGGCAGCCATAGTATTTCGGCTGGACAACAATCCATTCGGCCTTCAATTTCTCCCCACGTCATCTTTCTCCAAGCCCCTCTAGACAACCAAGCTGTTTAGCAAACCGACATTAGCAACAAGCTGTTTGTGGAACTGCGAAAATTAACTCCTGGTTGCGATAAAGCTGTTTTGTTTTCTGATACCCTGTCTCCGAGCTAGCTCTAGCTGTGTGCCGCAATTGACATGGCATCCGAAGCCTGCTCACCGCAGTCGGACTGCGCGCACGTATCTAACATTACTGTCGAAATCCGCCCAGGGAGCTGCGTCGCGGAGACGCAGGATGGAACTTCCGAGTTTGCAGGGTCGGGAAGTCGTGGCGCGGAGCGATTAGTACATCTGATTCCCGTCGTTCTCATGCTCTCCATGGCAGTCCTCTGGACTTTCCAAAAAGGTAATTGGTTTTTTTGCAATTCCTGAGTGCCGCGTTTCACTGGCAGTTTTACTGTACAGTCAAGTTGAAGAGCATTCTGTGGTAAGGCGTGTGCTTAACTGTAATCGCTCTCTTGCTCTTGAGATTACAGATGATGCCGTTTCGACATCGATTGTACACTCGTCGTCGCACCTCTCTGTCTCTCCGACCTTGTATCCATACTCGTTCAAAGCGGACCGTCGATTGCTGGACGGAGCCGTGGAGCCGTCCGATGGAGACGACTCGGCTCTTGAGTCGCCAGCTCACCGTCGTTCGACGCTTGCTGCGGAGAGCGCGAAAGACGATACAACAGCGCATGGCGCGACATCCCTCGACGCGCCGCACGAAGGCAATCTCGAAACTTCGTTTCGGGCGCTGCAGGCGTTGCTGAGGCCGTTGGGAATGGTGTGACATGCGGTTGCTGCATCGCCGGCACCGTGCATGTCGAGTACGGCGAGAGAACTGGAGAGGCCCACATACGTTGAACAGGTCACTTACTCTGGATGAATTACTGGCGTTGCTGCGCGATGACTGCGTGCAATAAGCGATTGCTGGTGCTCAGTGTGCATTTAAACCAGCGCACTGTATCTCGCAGCTTATCGTGCTCCATGAGACTGAGCTCCTTGCTTGGGTGTGGAGTAGGCGCTATAGCTTGTGATACTGGTATGTCCACTCGCGCAACGTTTAGCTTGCTTTTGCCATATTTATACGGTAGTTGATACTTTTTACTTCTAGGCTTGGAAAGGCTGGGCCTTAAAGCGACGGTGCACATTTGCCACCCGAAACCCGAAACCCTGGCGAACTGTTACTGCGGATGAAAAGTGTCTGCACGAAATCCTGGCTTTCGCCAGCCAACATTTTCGCGCTGGCAAGCCTGGTACAAAACAAAAACTTCTGAACTCAACCCTGCCAAATGTGCACCGTCGCTTTAAACCATTGGAATCGAGATCATCCCCAGCCTGAACCCTCTGTTTTAATGGCGTGATGGTGTGGCTGGTGCCCCATTGAACTGCGAGTTTTTTCATGTGCGTCCAAATCTTTGGACCAAATGTGGGTTTATGTTCACTAAGCACCACTTTTAGGCCTGGTACTGGACAGTCTACACTTGAGCAAGCACTGCTCATCTACCCCTGCCACACCAGCACCATAAATCCCCTCCCTGCCACAGCAGCAGCGCCCCACCATCACACTGCGCCTGCCTTCTTCTCCCTGCGCACACGTGTCTCCTGCGGGTCAAAGCCCGCCTCCTTGGCGCCAAACACGGCCCAGGGGGGCGTGGGAGCCATGTAGTCCGTGCTGCTGAATGGCTGCCCACTTGCCACCTGGGGTATGGGCATAGGCGTGTGCAGAAGAGGAAAGGCGCGGTGGGGGAGGGTGGGGGGGGAGGAGAGGGGGAGGGAGGGGAGAGTGGAGATACGGTAAGTGTGGTTTTAGAGGACAGACAAGCTTACGAAAAAGAAAACAACAAACAAACAAACAAACAAACGTGGGGCACAGCAGCCATCCCTGCCACCCTCTGTACCCCACCCCACTCTCCCTTCCCTTTCCCCTTCCCCACGCTCTCCTCTCTTCTTCCCCATTCCAACGCACCAGCTGATGGAACTTGTCATAGTCGATCCACGTGTGCCACGTGCCATCGGGCGCCTTGAACTTGGCAGAGAGTGCCAGCAGCACGCAGCACGAGTGCTCGTGCTCACACGCCAGCTCATACTCCCCCGCCCCCGCCTCCCCTGCTGCCGCCCCCAGCTCTGCTGCGAAGCGCCTCACGTCCTCGTGATACGGCACGTTCTGCATGGTCAAGGATGACGCCCCCGTGCTGGTGGGGGGAAGAGGGGGCATGAGGGGTGGGGCGGGAGGCAGTGACGGGAGAGGGGAGGTGAGAGAGGAAGGAAGGGAGAGAGTTGAAGAGATTGGAGTAGGTTGACGCACATGGGAGCGAGGAGTTAAGATGTAGGGAAAATTGATTCCACCATGGTACCTGCACCACCCAGCATTGGAAATCCCACCACACAGCACCCACCTGCCACAGCCCCCACCTGCCACAGCCCCAACCTGCCAGAGCCCCCACCTGCCACAGCCCCCACCTGCCACAGTAGGTGACGCCCTTGATCTCAATGAAGTCGGGCTGGCCCAGCTTGAGCAGGTCAGCGTATGCCTTGAGCTCGTCCGTGTTCCACCCCGTCACCAGCGTCAGCCGGTACACCGTGCGCTGCTGCTTGCTGCGCAGCGCTGTCAGGGACGCCTGCAGCGTGGCGCATGGTGCATGGCATGTGGAGGAAACACATGCACAAAAGGGATATCTATGAGAGAAAGAACAATCTAGGAGGCCGGACTTGCAGGATGGATGTGCGATTGTATGTGGGGCGACGACGCATGGATGCGCAAGGGAACATTGGAGCGCGGGAACATGTGGGGCGAAGGAGTATGTGGGGTGCGGGAACATGCGGGGCGAGAGATTATGTGGGTCAGGAGAGTATGTGGAGGGAGGGAGTACGTGGGGCGAGGGAGAAGGTGAGAGAGTATGTGGGGTGAGAGAGAAGGCGGAGCACGAGAGAAGGCGGAGTGGGCGAGCATGCTCACGGTGAATCGCTCCCAGAAGTCCCCAAAGAGGGGGCGGTCGATGGCCTTGAGCGACTCCTTGGTGCCCGCATCCACACTCACGTACAGCTGCCCGTGGTGTGTGCCGTGGGGGGGGGAGGGGGCACGGGGAAGAAGGACCAAGTGTGGAAGGAGAAACGCAGGAGAGAGATGCAGAGAGTGAGAGGCCAACGAGAGGGGGAGATGCCCAAGTGACAGAATAGTAGGAGGAGATTTAGACGAGGCAGGCTGGCAGCGAAGAGGAATGGTTCAAGAGAAGCTTGAAACAGGTCGAGAGTGGTGGAGAGAAGTTTAAAGCGGAGTGGGGCAGAGCAGAGCAGAGCAGAGCGGAGCAGCACCTGTGTGACGGGGTGCAGGTTGGTGATCTTGTCAGGGAACTGAGCGTTGGTGACGAGGAAGGAGGAGATGCGGCGGCCGTGCAGCAGAGCAAGCAAACGGTTGATGTGCGGGTACATGATGGGCTCGCCCACCAGAGACAGCGCACAGTGCCGCGGCGTCATTGCCTCTGCCAGCCTCTCTGGCTTCACCCCTGGGTGCGAGGAGGGACGGGGGTAGGGGGAGAGGGAGGTGGGTGGTGACGGCTGAGTATGGAGGTAGGGGTAGTGTGAGTGTGTGAGAGAGGGAGTTGCGTTGAGGGGTGGGAGTTGTTGGGCGGGAGCAGGGGTACAGCATAGGTAGGCTGTGAGGGATGGGTTACACCCATGTGGGTGTGGATGGGAAGCATGTGGGATGGGATGGGCGCAATGTGTGACATGCAATGAAGGACGATGGTGTGGTGTGGTGTGGTGTGGAGGGTACCAGGCACGCCCTTCATTTGCTTGATCATCTGCACGTGGCCTGCCAATGCCCCCTCCACTATGTCCTCTGGCTCGTCCACCTGCCAACCATACATGCACACATGCA